ACTCTAGGGTGTGAGGGAGTTGGGTTAAATGTGGTGTGAATTTCATTTAGACTCATGCAGAGGGCAGTAGGAGCAAGGGTGTGGATAAACTAAGCAAAATGTGGACGAGCATACAGTTGACTTTGGCTGATGGAAGACTCTCAGGATCATTTGTTGAAACTTTAAAAGTTTCTGAATATCATTTGACCCCTGCTACCAATTAAAAATAGACCACTTTGGGACTTACCACAGTGTCTTTGCAATCTAAGAACAACTTCGCTAAACACACTCTTGTCTGTCCTGCATCAAGTTTATGCTTTACACAAAGAAAAAAATATTAACAAGTCCTATTTGGCTGTGGTTAGAGCACTGTCTGTGCATTTAGCATGCTGGACCCACATAGACAACCGGCACAGTGAGACACATAACTGGCTGCAAGCTTTGACATAGTATCTCATGAGAGCACATTCACGCTTCATTGAGTTTTGCATCATCCTTTTTTTCAGTGTTTCCCTTTTTGTTTGATCATTTTCCTGAAGGCAGTGCACTTCTGAATGGGCTCTGCTCCATTAAACATTGTAATGTGGGCAGCATGTTTTTGACATCTCTGTGTTTTTGAGATGACAACGGAACAGCCCAGTGGACAAAATTGCAAATTGGGCAGGTTATTCAGAAGTGCAGTGTGTGTGTTACACGAAGTTCCCAGTAGGTGCAGTACACACGAGTGCAAATGGGGTATTTGAATATGGACATTCATATAGAAGTACACACACCAAACATTTATATTTTTACTCAAGCTCGCAAAGATATCACCATCAAAAAGTTGTGTAAATTCCTACACAGAAAGGAAGAGCTGACAAAAAACATGAAACGCCACAGTGAATAATCCATACAAACTAATGTTTTGTGATAGATTTATATTTAAATCAACCCTTCAATTTTGACTGACACAAGTCTTCTAGACTCCAAATTTAAAGTGTTTTTGTCCATCCTAGTTTATGTTTGCTTGACCTTTCTGCATAAGAGCCTACATGCATATACATACAGAGACAATTACACATGTGAGGCAGATGACAGACATTGACAGTAAATTGACCTGCTCACAAAGACAAGCGACTGATCTTACCTTCCACTGCTACTGCTGTTTATTCTATTGCAGCAGTTCTGACCTTTTGTCATTTTGAAAAAAGAAGCAGCTTGAGGCTCTCACAGCCTCACTGTACTTCTACCCAGCCCCCACCCCACTGGCCCACCCCTCACCAAATATCACAGTCCCACTGGGAAGACCTCCCAGGACTTCTCACTAGAAAACATTGGTCTTAAAGGACATACAGTTGAGCTAGAGCTTGTTGCAGACATTTCAATTGGACTGTGTTAGACTATAGTATGGATGTGCTGGGCTTTTGAAATATTTACTTCTATAACATGTTTATGTCATATTATTACTCGTACTGTTTTTAAATGATATAAGCAAAGACTCATTAAAGTTTGAGGCTGGGACTAACATCTATTTCTAATATCTAAATTTTTTACTAGCTTTTTTTTACTACCTGTTCTCTTTAGCATAGCTTGATGATGTATACTAGTAGTACCTAATCAGCATTACCTTTTTATATCACAAACATTAATTTGGCAGCCTACATCATCTTCAAGTATTTCTATTTCATCTAACTGTAATACGCTAAGTGGTTTGAAGCATTTAAGTGGTTCATGCCATGAAAGAATCTTCATAATTCTGATGAATAACTAAGCATATCAGCTATTTTAAATATACTGATTCGTGTAGCAAGGATGGCATGGCAACAAGATGGATCAGCTTGTTTTACATACTAAAGATGGAGTCCCAGCCGCACCCACAGCTTGACTCCCTGAGCTCTCCTTATTGTCCTGTTGGGACAGACAAGAAGAAGGAGGCTGATTGAACCAGAGCAGCCTAGACAATCCCAGGCCCTTTTAGAAGCCTAAGAACACGCAATGGTGATCGTCCACCTTTGGTCACCACACCAAACAGTGCAACCAAACATCTGTTTTTAACAAAGGTAGGAATGAAAAACTTGGGAACTAAAGCCCAGTACAAAAAGTGGTTCATATGTAAAAGTCTGTTGGGAGGTCATTCCCTTATGTTCACCCTTCTTTTTACCTCTTGTGTTGTAGGAGAGAGCTACCTTACCTGTAGGTTCTTCCTCCAAACGTTGACGGCCGCAAAGGCTAGCTGCATCTGCTTCCTGCGGGCGTCTTTATGGCGCTTGTATGCAATCTCAATGAAGATGAGGAAGATTCCTGCTGCAATGCCTCCAGCAACAAGCATGAAGACACCTGTGAATGAGAGGGATGAATAAAACTGTCAGACGATTAACGTAGGCACAATATTCTTCGAATCAACCCACTGAGGAGCTGGAGGGGGTGGAGCCTCTGTGTGATGGAATCCTAAATGTATTGCCCATATATTTGGGGCCTGCTGCTGAAAACCATGCAAAATGGATGGATGTTAAAGGTTAATGAGTTTGTTACAAATGTGAACATCAACACAGGTGAGCATAAAATGACAACTAAAAGCATTGGACAAAAAAAGGCCCCAATACCTTACCTACTGTACCTTTTTTGTCCAATCTCTTTTAGGTTTCTCTGTACCTGAAATGGACCATACCTGCCATATTCTCAAAGGTGAGTGTGGCTGGGGCATTGCTCCTTGAGTCACACTCCTGGTATCTCACCCAGGTTTTATCTAGGTCCTCCATGAAGCCATTCTCATGGGAACTGCAAGGGGTGGTGGAGAGCAGGAAGAGAAGTTCAAAAGTTAATAAGTTGTTTTTGGTAGAAAGTACCGATAAATCCCACAAAGTCACCACAACCACCAGCACATAAACACATATATGATCAAGCACACAGACAACAGAGCAGGGATGAAAGAGGGGAAATACATAGAGAGAGATGAGTAAGTGTCCAATGGTGAGATTTTTATACAACATAAAACTATTCAGAAGCATACAATATGCTGCTTCGGCTGGGACAGACCTGAGAATAGCCAGGGACACATTTTTCTGAACATCATTTGACCCCTGCTACATATGAAAAAGTCTACCACTTTGGGACTTACCACAATGTCTTTGCAATCTAAGAACAACTTTGCTAAACACACTCTTGTTTGTCCTGCATCAATTTTATGCTTTTAACAAAGAAAAAATATTAATAAGCCCTATTTGGCTGTGGTCAGAGCACTGTCTGTGCATTTAGCATGCTGGACCCACATTAGACCACCGGCACAGTGAGACACGTAAGTGGCTGCAAGCTTTGACATAGTATCTCATGAGAGCACATTCACGCTTCATTTAGTTTTGCATCATCCATTTTTCAGTGTTTCCATTTGTTTTCTCATTTTCCTGAAGGCAGTGCACTTCTGAATGGGCTCTGCTCCAAGAGACAACCATTAACCATTGTAATGTGGGCAGCTTGTTTTTGACATCTCTGTGCTTTTGAGATGACAACGGAACAGCCCAGTGGACAAAATTGCAAATTGGGCAGGTTATTCAGAAGTGCAGTGTGTGTGTGTTACACGCAGTTCCCTTTATGAAGGTGCAGTATACACAAGTGCAAATGGGGTGTTTGAATATGGACATTCATTTAGAAGTACTCACACAAAACATTTATATTTATACTCAAGATCGCAAAGATATCACCATCAAAAAAGTTGTGTAAATTTCTATACAGAAAGGAAGAGCTGACAAAAAAACATGAAATGCCACAGTGATTGATCCATACTAATGTTTTATATTTAAATCAACCGTTCAATTTGATCTGGCATAGGTCTTCTAGACTCCAAATTTAAAGTGTTTTTGTGTTTGCTTGACCTTTCTGCATATAAGCCTACATGCATATACATACAAAGACAACTATACATGTGAGGCAGATGACAGACATTGACAGTAAATTGACCTGCTCACAAAGACAAGCTACTGTGATCTTACCGTTCACTACTACTGCTGTTTATTCTATTGCAGCAGTTCTGACCTTTTGTGATTTTGAATAAAGAAGCAGCTTGAGGCTCTCACAGCCTCACTGTACTTCTACCCAGCTCCCACCCCACTGGCCCACCCCTCACCAAATATCACAGTCCCATTGGGAAGACCTCCCTGGACTTCTTACTAGAAAACATCGGTCTTAATGGACACACAGGTGAGCAAGAGTTTGTAGGAGACATTTCAGTTGGACTGTGTTAGACTATAGTATGGATGTGCTGGATAGGGCTTTTGAAATATTTACTTCTATAATATGTTTAATGTCATATTATTACTCCTGTTTTTAAATAATATTAGCAAAGACTCATCACAGTCTGAGGCTAGGACTAACATCTATATCTAATTACCAATTAGCGCTCTGTCCTGTTTTTTTTTTTACTAGCTTCCTGTTCTCTTTAGCATAGCTTGATGATGTATACTAGCAGTACCTAATCAAGATTACCTTTTTATATCGCAAACATTATTTTGGCAGCCTACATCATCTTCAGGTATTTTTATTTCATCTAACTGATACACTAAGTGGTTTGAAGCATTTAAGTGGTTCATGCCATGAAAGAATCTTCATAATTCTGATGAATAACTAAGCATATCAGCTATTTTAAATATACTGATTCGTGTAGCAAGGATGGCATGGCAACAAGATGGATCAGCTTGTTTTACATACTAAAGATGGAGTCCCAGCCGCACCCACAGCTTGACTCCCTGAGCTCTCTTTATTGTCCTGTTGGAACAGACAAGAAGAAGGAGGCTGATTGAACCAGAGCAGCCTAGACAATTCCAGGCCCTTTTAGACGCCTAAGAACACACAATGGAGATCGTCCACCTTTGGTCACCACACCAAACAGTGCAACCAAAGATCTGTTTTTAGCAGAGGTATGAATGAAAAACTTGTGAACTAAAGCCCTAGTACAAAAAGTGGTTCTTATGTAAAAGTCTGTTGGGATGTCATTCCCTCATGTTCACCCTTCTTTTTACCTCTTGTGTTGTAGGAGAGAGCTACCTTACCTGTAGGTTCTTCCTCCAAACGTTGACGGCCGCAAAGGCTAGCTGCATCTGCTTCCTGCGGGCGTCTTTATGGCGCTTATATGCAATCTCGATGAAAATGAGGAAGATCCCAGCTGCAATGCCTCCAGCAACTAGCATGAAGACACCTGTGAATGAGAGGGATGAATGAAACTGTCAGACGATTAATGCAGACACAGTATTCTTCGAATCAACCCACTGAGGAGCTGGAGGGGGTGGAGCCTCTGTGTGATGGAATCCTACATGTATTGCCCATATATGTGGGGCCTGCTGCTGAAAACCATGCAAAATGGATGGATGTTAAAGGTTAATGAGTTTGTTACAAATGTGAACATCAACACAGGTGAGCATAAAATGACAACTAAAAGCATTGGACAAAAAAAGGCCCCAATACCTTACCTACTGTACCTTTTTTGTCCAATCTCTTTTAGGTCTCTCTGTACCTGAAATGGCCCATACCTGCCATATTCTCAAAGGTGAGTGTGGCTGGGGCATTGCTCCTTGAGTCACACTCCTGGTATCTCACCCAGGTTTTATCTAGGTCCTCCATGAAGCCATTCTCATGGGAACTGCAAGGGGTGGTGGAGAGCAGGAAGAGAAGTTCAAAAGTTAATAAGTTGTTTTTGGTAGAAAGTACCGATAAATCCCACAAAGTCACCACAACCACCAGCACATAAACACATATATGATCAAGCACACAGACAACAGAGCAGGGATGAAAGAGGGGAAATACATAGAGAGAGATGAGTAAGTGTCCAATGGTGAGATTTTTATACAACATAAAACTATTCAGAAGCATACAATATGCTGCTTCGGCTGGGACAGACCTGAGAATAGCCAGGGACACATTCTGTTTCCAGGGGCTGTCCTTGCGCATGCCTATGCCAAAGCCCGAACGGAAAAACAGCTCTCCCGTGGTCACCAGGTCGCACTTCTGCGAGGCTTCAAACTCCAGCACCGCAGAGTCCCAGATGAAAGCATGCAGCTTGCTGTTGGGGCAGGGGGAAGGGAGGAGGACGGGAAGGATGGGGGGTTACGGTGCAACAGTACAGTGAGAAACAACACATTCATGGCACCCGACCCCACCCACCCCTCTTGTGCGACTTGTGTTACCAGAAATCTAGACTTCCACCTCATAGGCAAATGAAATCCAATGCCGGACGAGTGGAGCTTTGTCCCCCATTGGATACCCTCAATTATGTTTTTGCTGAAAACCTGAAAAAGGTGTTCTTTAGCTCATTGTTAATATATGTTATGTGTGGCACATAGCTGGGCCTCTCCTGTGTGGGGTTATGGACCAGGGTCGCAGGTTAGTGCAGTAAGTGCTGGCACTGATTTATATACCTGAGACCCGCAGGCCCAGAACCCTCAAGACTGACTTGACTGATTGGCTGACCATGAGGCCAGATCTGCTGGTGTCTACCCAGCAGGGACTCACTTGTCCCGAACAGCCTGGATGGCTTCAGCGGCGCTTTCGTAGTTGTGCTTCTCCATGTGGCGGTACATGGTGCTGAGCTCAACTTGTCGCCGGAAGTAAATATCCACCGAACTTTGCTTCACTGTGGCATAGATGAACTTGTCTGATGGGTTCCTTAGCTGGAAAAAAATGCAAACTCACTCTATACATCTTGAAAAGCTTTACTTTGGTAGTTCAAGTGCTTAGAGAAGCATACCCTTGGGTCATTGATGCCGGTGATGCGCTCCTCAGGCCGGTCCAACACCAGGAAGGCAGCCAGGTTGGCAGTATAGGATGCTACTATAATCATAGCAAAGCCAGCCCACACCATTCCCAAAATTCTTGCTGAAAAACTACGTGGGGCACCTGGACAACATGTGTTAAGTACAGTAGTGGTCAAACATATGTCAAGTAAAATTGATTTAATTTAACATGATCATAAAAACAAAGTTTGACTTTCACAACACCTTCTCCAATTCCAGAGTTCAACAAGACGCCCCAGGAAAACCACATAGCTGAAGATAAGGTGAGGGCATCCTCTTCTTCTTCTTCACTGTTTACTTTAAACCTTCCAAATGGGCTGGGGAAACCAGGTCAAACAGTGAAAATTATCAGAAAGAGAATAGGCAAAGAACCCCTATAAGTAGTCTTCAAATAAATGCTCCAGTATCCCAAGTAACTTAGCATTGGCCAGATTGCAGAGAACATAGAGAGAACTATAATAGACGTGAAGCAAGGCAAAGAGACCGAGAGCATACAGAAAAAGACAGAACGAGAGGGAAAAGACAACAGGCTCACAGAGTACAGCCACCCAACCTCCCCCACCTTCATGGCGACACTGACAATGAAATGTGTTCAGCACTCTCATATACTGTGGAGACATCCTGAAACAAAGGTGCTACATGATCCCAATGAGTGAAACAAACTATCTATATGAACAAACATGTGCACACAGCCACCCCATGGACATACATAGAACAGCTAGCCACACTCTCAACCCAACGTCTTGTTGTACCTGAACCGGTCTAGTAGGTAAAGCATCACCGCCACCACATGTACCGATAGACCCACCAGTAGCCACAGTGTGCTCTGGAATGGCTGCATGAACGAGTCCAGTGTACTGCGAGGAATTTCCTGAAATGCACATTACATGGTCACTTACATAAATTTAGCACATTTCAGTACCAGCATGAGGCTACAGCAAGTGGTGACTACCAATGCTGATCTTTTCAAAAGGGCTATACTGATGATCTGTAATTAAACTACAAATAGAATGTGATAGTTTGAGTAGTGTAATCGTACCTTTTTCACAAGGATAGTCAGTCCTTGGTATTTGAAAGGCTTGGAGAATTCTATATACTGGGCTCGTTCATTGTTGATCGTCAAGGGCGCAACGATCATATCAGCAAGGCCACCCAGGAGCTCGCCCATCATGCCGTTCCATTCCTTCTTGTTACTGTTATTTACCTATATCACCAAAAGATACGAAGAAGGCAATCTTATGATTATCAACTTGCCTATACTTGACACAAAGTGAAAGTGTACTTACTCTTTCTTGTGTTCCAAATTTCCCATCTGCCACCAGGTGTACTTCATAGGTGAAGTTCATGGTCATTGCCAATTTGATCAGAAGGTCAATGCAAAATCCGCAGCAACACTGGGGAACAATTGGGCGTCCTGTAACCAAACCAGAAAAAGTTACATTTCATTTGATCTGACAAAGATACTTCTGGAAAGATCGATATTTTGAAAGTCACCACACTCGGTCCATTCACTCCAATGTTAAAATTACTCACTCATTTAGAGATTGTGTTTCTCTTTTAGATGGTGTGTGCTCTCAACCGCTGACAGCATTGAGGTCTGATCAATTCCATTTCAATAAATTCAGCTTTTGCTCTGCTACTCAGCCAGTCATAGATTTTTTGCAGATGATAACGGAATAAAATATTAACAAGCTATGTGAATTCATTTTCAATTGATCTATGGTACTGGCTGAATTTAAGTAGCCACAACTCTTGTGTTTGGAATGGATGTATTTTTCCATCTATTCTGATCTCAGACAAACTCAACAGGCAGATGGGAGCATCAACATCTAAAAGTACAATCCTTCCATATTTCACACTTTACCTGTAGATTATATAGGCTGCGACACAAGGCACACCCACAGCTGTCACTATATGCAAAGCAGAAGGCTAAGATGGAAGCCCAAGCAACACATTCACAAGTTTGCAAACATCTAGCACATGCATACATTTTGCACTAAGCAAAAATAATCACATACTTACAACATAAAACAAACACACACACATTAAAAATTGTCTTTTAAACATGATTTAACACAAATACAAACATGCATGCTCACAGCCACAGACTTGCACTCTTGCTACATTCATACATGTAGAAATTGCTGGTGCATATATATGTATGTATGTATTTCCAGACAGCGAATGTAGAAAAGCACAGTGACAAACGTCCCTGATGTGTTACCTGGGATGGTCTCATTTGGTCCAGTGCAGATCACCTTTTTAATTAAGACTCCATTAGGTGTGTACTCTTCCTTGCAGGTCCCGTCCAACGTAGTTGGCTTCACATACACAAAGGGTTCCTGATGAATGGTCACTATCTGCAATAGAAGGATGGGATTTTGTTCAGCTTTCCTATGTGACATCAATTGCATTCAGATCTTTTCTAGTTCATGACCCTACATTTTTAGCAAGTTTTGGATAAGTGAAGTGAACCATGTACCTTTAATCGAGTAGACATTTGGAATCCTCTTGGTCTTTCCGTTTCACCTCCAGGCCAAATGATCTTCCTCTGTTTATTCATCACCACCTGATGAAGCAGATAATTATAACAGATAATTAACAGGCTTATAATCATAATCTTTGTTCAGTCCTCTAATCTAAAATAATTTGTCTAGATTCCAAAAATGCCATTACAGTGTTGGCTTTGAATACAATTATGGGAATACTAGTGTTGGCTTGAAACTCTATATTTTCTGTAAAATTAGTTTTTGTATGGCTCACAGGAACTAATGCAAGATTCAGGACCCATGTCATGAAATTATAAATTAAACACTATGAAAGAAAAGACTAGTACTTGTGTTCCATTGTAAATGCCGACTTGAATCAGTCTGCTCTTCTGGTAGTTGAGAATGCTGTAATGAGCGTATTTTCTGTCACCGTCGTCATTGAACTCAACGCGTCCTGTTAGGCCCTCTGGGTATTTGGAAGACATCAATACCCTGTGGAGCACAGCCAGTATTGACCTATGAGTAATTGTTGACCTTTTTGTATGTGATGCATGAAAAATATGCATAGATGAAATTTCATGTGTTGTGACAGTGCATTAGATCACTGTGAACATCTGTCTGTGGTTGTCAAAATCCATCAAAGAATGACACAATCCCCCCTCAAGCACAGTGTCATGGAAAATAATAACGAATCACACAAAATCAAACTGCATGCATGATCTTTAGTACTACTGACCTTTTAAAGAGTGGCCCGGTCTTCCAGATGTTGGTATTGCCCACGCTTTTTATGGTAACTTCTTAATTAAACCTCTAGGGGTCAACATTGAATTCACAACTGTATTTAATCTTGCCAGTGAACCAGAGAACGCAACCATTATCGTGCAATCTTGTGACGCGTGTAAAACCTTTAAACACATAAAGTGCTTAAATGTTTAAATGGTTAATTTATACACACACACACACACACACACACACACACACACTAACATCCACTGCTCGCTTCATCAATAAAACCTCTCTAGTTTAACAGAAAAACTGAGACAAATGGCTTCTTTTCCTTTGCCTGTCTCAGTTGTACTAAGGTGGGTGTACGTACCGTCAGGGGCCTCGCTCAAAGCTTTACCGGACATCTCACGCTCCCCAACCAGCCATACATAGCCTGAGCCTGTCATGTTGAGGAAACGTGCTGTTTTGTACACGGCTGCTGCATCTTCTTCGCTAAAGGCAGATAGACAGGTTTACAACCGCTGACAGAAATACGAGAAGCTTACTGAAATATGAAATTGTTTTGTAAACCCATTGTTTTGACTTTTCAGTATTATTTACTTCAAAGGATTCTAAGGCCTGGCCTGAAAAGACCAACTGGTTAGGGCTGGTTTTGTGCTGGTCTTGCTCGTGGACCAGCATAGCAGGTACTGCAAAGGTTGTTGCCAAGTCTTGCTGGTTAAGCTAATTATTTTCCAGGTTCAGTACAAGTTAAGCTCAATCAACAGCATTTGTGATATGTTGATTACCACAAAAAAAAAAAAGAGTAGAGTATAATGGAAGTAAATGGGAACAATTTTTTTTGATGATTTAAAAGCAGAAATGTGGAGCTCCTAATTTTATATTAAAAAAAATATATTTTTATGGTCATTTTTGGATTTTAGGAATTATTTTGGCAACAAAGCAGTGTTATTTATTTTAGTTTTAGTTCATTTTTTATTTATTTCTGGCTAGTAAATTTAATGTTTCGGCTTATTTCAGAAAACAATTCAAATTTTTTGTTTTTATTTTGTTTTGTTTAGTTGTTCATCCAATATTTGTAATTTATTTTATTTCAGCTTTCTTTTTTCAATCAACAATTTTTTTTATTTGTTTTAGTTTTATTTAACTATAAAAGCCTGCTATGAAGTTGTAAAATTGAATGTAACCTGACATAGAAAAGGTAGCTGTTTTTATTTATTTATTTATTTTTTAAGAAAAGGAAGAACTAGTGGAACTTATTTTTGTGGTAATCAGCATTAAGCCACAAATGCTGTTGATTTAACATATCTTCTATTGAACCTAGAATATTCCTTTAAGAAACAAAAGCATCCAGAACACAACTTGTGGTGGTCTATTCAGCAGGGTGAAAAGAATAATAAATATGTTGATGGCTTATTCTGATTCATTTCAATTTTGCAGGTAATTATATTGAAGAGTGAGGTGTAGAGATTTTGGCTGGCTGCCAAGAGTAAACCGCTTACCTGGCAGAGAGAATGATCACTCGGGCTTCCAACTGTTTGGCCTCCAGGAGCAGGGCAGTTAAGTTAGTCTCTTGGTTGAATTGAAGCACTTTCTCGGCCTGATATTGGGGTACACAATCAGTTAAAGGATTAGTTCACTTCCAGAATAAAAATTTCCTGACAATTTACTCACTCCCATGTCATCCAAGATGTTCATGTTTTTTTGTCTTCAGTCGCAAAGAAATTAAGGTTTTTGAGGAAAATATACCAGGATTTTTCTTCATATAATGGACTTAAATGGTGGCCAATGGGTTGAATGTTTAAATTGCAGTTTCAATGCAGCTTCAAAGGGCTCTTCACGATCCCAGTCGAGGAATAGGGGTCTTGTCTAGCAAAACGATCGGTCATTTTCTAAAAAAAAAAAAAGAAAAATGTATATACTTTTTAACCACAAATGCACATCTTGCACTAGCTCTGCGATGCCGTTGGACGTTGGATCCTGTTGGAAAGGTCACACGCAGTTAGCTCTTCGTCTGTGTACTCTGGTTAAAAAAAGTAGGGTAGGGCCAAAAACTCCATCTAATTTTCTTCTCCAACTTCAAAATCGTCCAACATCGTTGTTTTACCTTCTTTTGTAAAGGGCATTTAACTTTCTTTGCACGTTCGCTTTGTAAACACTGAGTTGGTACTTCCGCCTACGTCACGTGTGACCTTTCCAACATGACTACGTAATGCGTGAAGTCGAGCTAGTGCAAGACGAGCATTTGTGGTTAAAAAGTATATAAATTTGTATTTTTTAAAGAAAATGACCAATTGTTTCGCTAGATAAGACCCCTTACTCGTCGGCTGGGATTGTGTAGAGCCCTTTGAAGCTGCATTGAAACTGCAATTTGGACCTTCAACCCGTTGGCCACCACTGAAGTCCATTATATGGACAAAAATCCTAAAGGTTAATTTCTTTGCGACTGAAGAAAGAAAGACATGAACATCTTGGATGACATGGGGGTGAGTAAATTATCAGGACATTTTTATTCTGGAAGTGAACTAATCCTTTAAAGAGGCTATTTACTTCCATAACTGAACCATGCTGCCTCATTTAGCACTTTTGGTAGGTTTGGTTGTTTCTGATTTTTTTTTTCTAGGACTGAAAAGGGGGGCAAATTATAGAGTTCCAGGGAAACTGCTTCAAAATTAAAAATAAAAGAATAAAAAAGCTTGAAACCCAAAAAAATTGGCATTGTCGCATGCAAACTGAGGGTTATCAAGGCTTCAGAGAAGGACGTGCATGTTAGAGGTTTCGGGGAGTGAGACCGATGCAACCGGAAACTAAAACCAGGTGGAAAGGGGAGTGACAGGTGAGAGGAAGTCATTTCCCCAAAGAAAAAGAGTCGAGAAAAAAGAACGAGGGGATGCTGCAATAGGAAGTAGAATCTGAGTGTTGTGTCCCAAAATATCGGATCTCCACAAAAGAATGGGCTTGCTTTTTTTAAAAGTCTGAATCATGCATAATCCTTTATTAAAAAGGAAAAAATGGTAATGAAAGAAGCGCAGCATTTAAATTTTTTACTGAAACGGAAATAATAATCGTTCAAAAGAAATCCATTCTTCATTTAAATCATAAAAAAGGGAAAAGTAACGTCTCAATGTAACAAGAAACACGTGCTACCAAGAGAAGGGCATTTCTGGGTTGGCCGGTGATTGGTTGGGCTGGTTCTAGTAGCTACGTTTAGAGATTTTGGAGGGCGGCGTGCACTGACCATGCAAATATACCTTAGGTCCTCTCTTGTTGTCATAGGACAGTTGGTCTTGGTTTTCATAGTTCCTTTTTTTATTCTGATGAGTAATGTGCACAGAGAAAATATGCAGACACAGAAGAATATTATAAACAGTTGAAAATGGTGGGCAGTAAAGCAACCAACAAATTTTCACTTTTCTGCTCCAAATTTGAATCCCTAAAACTGGGACTTGCAAAAAACATCATAGACCATCTGGCATCAAATCACAGACCTAAACAAAGCTAACAACATGACAAACTTCAGGTACCAGGTAGTGCTTTTCCATCAATCCAGATCAGCTACCTGCAGCAGCACTTGAACGCTTTCTGAATTATTAACGTAAAGTTACTTCAAATTCAATAAAAATGACAGACTACTGTGACGGGCTACCAAACTAACAAATCGCTTGATAACAATGCAGATATTGCTTAGTGCTGTATGATTGCAGAAGCTCACTAAGAAGACCTTTTCTGTTGCACCATCTTGAGTTCTGCTGTATTTTTGAGGGCAGTGGCCTCAGGGGAAAACCCCCGGCTCAAACAGTGCCATTTTTCAGTGATATAAATAAACCTCCCCTGCATAGACACACAACACTGCCCTAGTACTACGTTAGGCTGGACACGTTCTCATGCGATTCTTGTTTCAAGATTCTGAAATTATGCGTGACCTATATGCGTGCCGTGGCATTTGCTCATATGGCAACTCAAAGGAAATTAAAAAGGTGAATACACACTGGCCTTTCCTGAGCACCTCTTAAACCGAACTCATGCTGCAGCCATGAACCCCGCTGTGCGTTCACTGGAAATAGCTCATTATGCCTGACACTCTTGTAAACTGATAGTAGAAGGAATATGAAAACGATCCTTGGCGCATAGTGCATAAAAATAGTCTCTGAGTCCGATCTGTATTAGAATATAATAGCAAGCAAAAATAGTGTGATATTTAAGCACTGTTTTTTTTATAACTATGAATATATATTTTCTCAGTCAGTGTGAATTGGTGTTGCTAAAACTATTTGGTTATCATTTAACATTATCCAGTAACTCATGCTGTGTAAGTGACAAAAGCGCAATAGCAGTAATTTCAGAACAAGTTATTACAATTTTAATAAAGATTACGAGAATTACATTTTCAATAAAGATTATGAGAACAAATGGGAACAAAATTGCCCCCCAAAAAAACCTGAAAGCAGGAGCTACAATTTTCAAACATTAATTAGAAATGGTCAGATGCAAGATGAAAGTACACTATCAGAAAAATTACCTTTAGCTTGTCTCTGGGATCAAAGATACACCTTTTCTGCCTTTTCCCTAAAAGGTGCATGGAAGTATCAGGTATAAAGATGTTTCTTTTAGGGTACGGTCCCAGTGACTAAGTGCTGTACCACAATTTTTGGTCATTTTTTTCTGTTCTGAATTCTAAAATGAAGTTGCATCTCAAATAACAAAATAGAGAGCCTGATAGAAATGCATATTACACAAGCAGTGCAAAATGGCTGCCAGGTCTATATTCTGTGATTCAGAAGGCAATGTAAAACTTCAATAACAGTGCATAAAAGGCCAAATAAAGCCTTTTTTTTTTTTACTTTCAGAAGCATAAAAGTAAATAAAGAGTTTTGTGCAAATAGTTAGTGGCCACTAACTAAAGCTTGTCAGTATGATAGAAATGTACAAAGCAAAAATGTGATGTGAATTTACTTAGATTTTAATTTCACAAAACATTAACTAAACTTAATTTCACACTGCATTAAATCAGAAAGCAAAAGTGTTTCATGCGTGATAAATAGCAATGTCTCATTCCTACTAATGACTCAGCTACAAAATGTGATAAAAACCTGGCTTAGGCAAGACTAGGCAAATTAATTTATTTAGCACATCTGTGCTTTACATGGGCATAATAAAGAAGAAGAGAAATAAAGACAAATGCAAATCAAGTTTAAAGTCATTTAAGAACATAAACATGAATAACGAAAGAGACACATTTAAAAAAAAAAAAAGTTCCCATTCCAATATAAAAAAGTATGTTTTAAATGCATCTTCCAAATATACAGTACTGTGCAAAAGTGTTACGCCATTAGTATTTTCACCAAAAAAAAAAAAAAGGTTTTAAGCCAGTTATTTCTATCTTTGGCTGACAACAGCCAATGCTCCACACAGAGCTCTGATCTCACCGTCATCCAGTCCGTCTGGAATGGCATGAAGAATCAGAAAAAAACTGAGACAGACTAAATCAAGAAGAACTGTGGCAACGTCTTCAAGACACTTGAAGAAACCTACCTACAAACTACAGTACTGTAAAAAGTTTTAGGCACTTGTGTAAAAATGCTGTGAATTGAGGATTCTTTTAAAAATAATGTAAATTAACTTCTATTAACTCAATCAAATCAATATTTGGTGTGACCACCCTTTGCGTTTAAAACAGCCTTTGTCCTAGGTACACTTGTGCATGGTTTTTCAGGTAGCTTTGTGAGAAGGTTTCTTCAAATTTATTGGAGACGTTGAATTTAGTCTGTTTCTTCATGTAATCACAGACGGACACAAGGGTGAGATCAGATTTCTGTGTGGAGCACTGGCTGTTGTCAGATTCGTGCATACAAAAATCTCACTGAATTATTACAATTAATGGCAAAAGGAATGTTTGGAATTTGGATTGGATTTCCTACTGACACACTACAGCAAAAGATAGAAATAACTGGCTTAAAACCATTTTTTGTTGGTGAAAATGCTAATGACCTAAGACCAATTTGCATAGTACTGTATATATATATATATATATATATATATATAAAGTGGCACAAAAGGCATTTTTTTTTAAATGCTGTGGCAGAAATCAACTATTCACACTTTCCACAGATCATTTTTATATACATATATACACATACTTATGCATAAATGTGATTTTATCACTAGATAAATAGATAAATTATGCATATATGTGTCTGACATATGTGCACCTCTACTAAGTGTTTTTTTTTTCTTTGGTCGTGTCTTAGAACACATAGTAAGCTAGGACAGCCATTGGTGACCAGTTGAAAAAATAATAGTGAAAAGAAGAAGAAAAATTAAAATAAAGTAGCTATTTGTGATTTCAACAGTCTTCCAGCACCAAAAATGACTGGTGCTGTCTCTGTGGGTATGTAGCTCAATTCGCACCATACCTAAATAGTTTCACTGTTATTAATCTCTCGCAGCAATGAGGGCAACAATAATTACCTCAGCGCTGAGCAGGGGGGATGTGGGCTGGTGATTTAGCTTTCATCCCCAAGGAAACTGAGCAGAACCTCTGCAAGAACAAAATTCCCACAATGCACCACTGTATTTATGAAGCAATCACAGCTCTAAACCACCTCATGAGACACATTGACGATAAGATTGAAGGATCATATCTGTGGCTCAAGGCTACAAAAATACCAGCTTATATAGTGTATAAACATAGCATAAATGTGTTCAAAAAGTCACTGATGCTTTGCAACGCCCCAGGTTAAGGTTTTCATTTTGCTCCTGCTGACGAAGGATTGACACAGGAGTTTTTGACTATGGTAGAAAGCAACATGAAATGAGCAAATAACACACGTTAAGTCAAATCAGACCACATTAGACATGGCTGACGCCTTTGGTTTTATAATGTTAGCCAACATTTACAACATGGCATGAGAGATGTGATCACACAACAAAAAAGTAAAACCGTTACGTACATAGAAGACTTTTGCGATTGATACACACATGCTTGCATACAAGCACGCACTGGGAATCCTGGATCTGGGAATATCTTACCTTGGTCTCTCTCTCCTCCAGAAGAGTTTCTAGTCTTTTCTGTGCCGCTCTGCCTTCATGGTCATCACTGACGATTAGAATGATGTGATTCCAGCGGAACTCCCGCATCATATCAAACCACACATGTGCCTGGTGGGAATAGGGCGGCACTGTGCGGAGGAATGAGAGATGGATACTCTGGAAGAAGGGTAGAGAGAAAAGAGAGACACATTTTAAAATTACAGTCCTTTTAGCTTTGTAAAATAATAAAGGGTGTTTCTTCAACTACAGGAATTTTTTTATTGTTCTTTTGTCTACTGGTAGAAGAGTAGAAAGAAAGAAAGAAAGAAAGAAAGAAAGGTGGGACACATAAAGTTTAAAAATGACTTTTTAAAAATGTCTTTTATTTAGTAAAATAATAAAAGGGTAATTCATATGGAAGCCCATTTCCACCACAGGATTTGAAAAAAAAGGTAATTGCATCATTTTATCTCACAATTCATACTTTTTTCAATTCAGTTCAGACCTACTGGCATAACAACTGAAACTGCAGATAGAGTAACTAAAAATCCCAACAATTAATACCAAATAATGATATGTAAATATCACTTGTGAGTAGAATATTTTTTAATTTAAGTTTTTTTTCCCAATCAAGCTGCACTTCTGCCATTTTTATGTTAACAGACAAATTAAACTAGTCATAGGATGGGAATTGTTTTTCTAAAAGCCTATAGGGACCAAAAGTCCCCATAGTTGAATAAACACCCATTGATACCCAAAATGATTCATATTGAAACTGAATAATTAAATTTATCTCTCATTGCAGCCCTACCTTGTCTGAGTAAATGGACATCCTGGTGGTGAGCCCTACTACAGGTATGCGGTAGAACCCTGCGGTGTAGGAGACCGGAGTGGGCGTCAGATGGTCATTGGACTGTGGTGGATGGCTCACCAGGATGGCATACACCTGTGAATAAAATCACAGAACTGGTTTAAATACAAACTAGCGGTCAAAACTGGATCACAGAGGCATGATTGCTATGACTCATGGATCTGACCTCATTCTGTGACTAAATCTATAAATCACTTCACAGGCACACAGATTGACAATTTGATTGATTGATGATGAAGGATCTATGGTTGGACTCAAGGGAGCAAGAGAGACAAAGAGGAATCTGTCCATCACATATAAAAAATGTTTTTGTTTTTCAAAAAAATATGCTGCATTGGGAAGGAAAAACAATGAAGAAAAACATTTTGTGTTTCCAGAAAGGCCCTCTGGCATCGGCTCCATCTGTCACCAAGCATCTTCAGAGTGGGCAGAGACATCAGAGAGCCAAAGGCGCTAAGACTGAGTGATACAAAAGTTTTGCATGGAAGAATCTCACACAACCAAGAAATTAATTCAGCAATTATCCTGACATCCTGCTAACTAGCTACACAACCTTACGGCCCAAATCTAGACACCCATTGTTCAGCCCGGTTTTTGTTCAGTGCGGTATCCAGGCCTGAGATAGACTCCTACCTCAGCACTTTTGAAATGACATCACTGGCCCTGAGAGCACTTAATGCGCAACTGCTTAATGTGATTTTTCCGTATGCAGGCTTTTAATGAAACAACACATCAGGCTGAATTACTCCCACGAGTGTGAAAGTTGTTATTCAGTAGTGAAAATGTCTCTCATTTACACTTCATATAAGGCATTGCTACTGCAGTACTTTATGGTTTCTCTTCTGACACTTCTCAGGTTATAGCATGGCGTAAAAAAAAAAAAAAAAACCACTCAAAACTAAGTGGTGATCATTTTAAGAGCAGATTAATGATTAGACCTATAAATAAACATTTTAGAGCTTGTGCATTAAATTTTATTTGGCATATCTATCTACTGTATCTATCTATCTATCGGTCTGTCTGTTTTTTGGTCTATCTATTATTCTATTGTTCTAGCTATCGTTCTACCTGCCTGTCATTCTATCATTCAATTGTTCCACCTGTCCATCTATCATTCTATCTATCATTCTGTCTGTCTATCTATCAATTTATCAGTCCATAGTCTGTTCTAACTACATTGTATGAAATATTTTGTTGGCTATCCTTAAAAAATGTGCTTTATAATAAAGCACGATCTAAATTAAGTGGTTGTATATCTCAAAAATATTATTTAAATATTATTTAGTCAAAAATATTATTTAGCATGTCATTTTAATGGGTCAGATCAAGAAGAAAATTAAAATGTGGTGACACATTTCCACTCTTTACGCTGTATTTATAGTGAACATCAGTATTCATATGGTGTATTGTTGAACATAGCTGTATGTTTGAGGCATTTTTGACTTGAAATAGCATCCTCTCCCAAAGACATGTTTGCAGATACCAATGCCATGCTGACCCTTCCACCCCCATCTTTATTTTTATCAAGCACAGTAATACTCTGTGAAAATAGAAACTGCTAGCATTGAAAATCATTGATTTTTCATGCGTCACCTAGTTTGTTTTGCAGCTGCTGCCCTCGGCCAGTGTCGTAATCTCACTCATTCCTGACATCAAAGCTCTGTGGGGTCAGCTACAGTACGTTAACCTTTCCTCCCACCGTGAGTCCATCGACCTGCTTGGATCATCAACTGACAGGCTGTCCTGTTTAGACATCTAAACGAATTATGCAGCTTCAATCTACTGCCACAATCCAAACCAAGTTCGACTGTCCAAATAACAGGTCAGTGCCTACACTATAAAAATGTTTTGTTGGCTATCCTAAAAAATGTGCTTCACGTGGTTTAAGTTTGTCTAAAAAATATTTTAAAAATTGTCTAAACTATAATATGCATTTCAATTAATTATAGGTTTCTCAAGTCAAAAATATGATTTTATATGACTAAATCAGCTGAATAGCCTACATAAAGTATGTAAACAAAAGTCATTTTTAAGGGACAGATAAAGTATTTACTGCAGTGTTACAGTGCAATAAATGTTCAGAAATTATTAATCGGCATCAGTACATTTGTAGCTCTTTCAAATGCATATGTGCATATTTAATGGCACACTTTTCAATAACCTAACTACAGTATGTTACTTGTAATGGATAATATCATGCATTTCAAAACACTTCCTAATGAAAGCTAAATAAATTAATTAAATCCGAATGTGCATATTGCATGGACACATTTACCCCCCAGGCAACCTGTAAGCCATTTTATACTGGATCTAGCCACATGGAAGTACCACAGTGCAAAGCTGATACTAAAAATCCCACCTGACTGGAAATGAGATCCTCACACACAGACAGCGCCATCTGAATCGCATTGGCTTTGTGAGTGACAGAGATGGCGGTCAACTTAAATTTATCCGTTCCGTACACCTGGTTCGCCTGAGTGACCGCATCCTTGAACACCTGCTCGTATCTCTTCTGGCTCAGGACGGCTCCGATGTTCACAATCTTGGGCTCGCAGCCGCCCCGCACGCATGAGCAAGAGAAAAACGCAGCCAGCAGAAGCAGACGCATCGTGTGGAGGGCCAGAAGAGCGCACGGAGAGCCCCAGTGTCCTCCCTTCTTAGTGCTGTAGGAGGCTCGTGCTTGAGATATTCGCTTGTTAAGAATGAAAGCAATGTCCAGTAGACTTTAAAAAAATCCCAGGTACGAAATTCTCCCACACTGCGGCGATCTGTTCATGGTGCCTGGTTCATTCAGGCGATGGCATTTGAGAGAACCGGCATTCACTGCAGCCATTCTCCTAATTCCTCCTGTTAAGTCAGGCTGCAGACAGGCAGAGCAAGAAAGTCGCATACTACATGAAGCCTGGCAGCAGAAATCAGTGATGCGTCTCGTGTCGTCCGCCTCTCTGTTCTGCGGCTGAGCGCTGTCCTTGGTGCTGACAGCTGTGCGCGCTCTTTTACGCGCGCCCCCGCACCTCCTCCAGTTTTTCGCGTTGGCGTTCCGCTAGAATTAAAACGCTCCGATGTCACAAACAATCCAAGCGTGAAATTAAAAAAGCTATAACTGTTTTTCTATTTGGAGCGAATTGGGTGTTTTTAAACGAGTAGAAAAAACATATGGTTTTGACAGTCTGTTGTCGGCCATTTATCGACACATTCCAGTGTTTCTAACGCATTTAATCCCACCTATACCATCTTGACCATTTTCTTTTGAATTTAATGGGTCTTTTAAGAGTTGCTGATGCACAGATAGTTCTCAACTGTAAATGAAAGTGTTGATTTCATGTGAACATTTTTTACATAAACAGAGTTGTTGTTTTACCCCTCTGAAAGACAAAATAAAGGCGAAACATGCATAATACAGATACAGCTATTATATCTGGTAATATTTGAAGGGTCTATTATTAATGTAGTAAAATTGCACAAAAAATGGTAAAAAGGTTCCCAATGTAGCTAAACATGTCATTGGTCAAATTTGTGAAAGGCCCATTTTGAATAAGTAACTGATTTATTCATATTATAAAACTGTAGATCTCAAAGTACTGTTGCATTAAATGAGACAAAAATGATTTTTTTATTGGGTTATTATTGGATTATATAATGTAACGTTCTATGAGGGATAATTGTGCAACTGAGCAATATTGATAGCAATTGTGACCCTGAATAAAACACATCATTTCATAACTTTTTTTCTTCTTCTTTGTTCCATCCAAGAAGTAAAATGCATGTGCTCACCTAGAAACTGGGATTAAATGGGTTAAAAAATGTGTAAAGAGTTAAGGCATGGCCAAATTGAGATTTTTCCTTATATTGTTTCTGAAAACAGTGTTTCTGAAAAAACATTTTGATAAACATAAAAAAAAAGAAAAGTATTGCTAGTCAACAGGCCCTGATAGAAAATTAAGGTTCTTCAAGGCACTGCAAAGAAACCTCTTGTCAAGCTGTATTTTGATGACTGTATTGGTTTCTTTAAAGCACCAACACATAGATGGTTGTCTAATGTTCTCCTTGACTGTAAAAAAAACCTTTTTGGCTCTGTTTGAAACCTTTATTTTTAGCTCACCTTCTTCTAGCATAGCCTCCCACCCAAAAAGACTGATTTAAGACGGCTAAATGTTACCACCAATGCTCAAAGTCGTATTTTAAGGACTGATGTTCAATTATGTAAGCACACCATATATTTCAGCATTTTCAATCATGAAATCACTTGTTCCATTTCTCAAACCTAGACTTTAAAAGTAACTACTTAAAGTGGCAGATCTGAGAGGTCTTCCCGCTTCTCTGAGCATCAGCTTTAAGTGCTGTGTGTTTTCAAATGGCAGCTGTGCAAACCATTCATTTTTGCTTTATTTTCAAAGATGCGTGTTCTAGTGCATGTCAAAGCTCCAGACAAGAGCAGTGCTTTGAAAAAAAAAGTGTACTGCTCGCTTTTGGGAAAAAAGGGTAGCGCTCTCTATGCAGGCGTATGTGCTGAGCATCATTATGCACTGGTTGGTACATAAGGACAAAAGGGGAAAAAACGGTTACCATGGAAACAAGCCTCTCTCCTGAAGTGTGAAGTTTCAAAGTATTCACATGTACACATTTTGTACGCGCTGGCAATGCAGGGTGTTAATGAGACGAAGTGACAGTAGTGCGCCTTATAAACATACACCACAAAACGTGAACACCTTGAATGGTTAATGTTGGCATATTAATATGCAGGTTTTCTTGTAGATACGCATTTGGCCTCACTTTGTGTTGTGATTTTGTCATACTCTGCTCTTTGTGATTTTATTTAATTTCCTCGTGTTGGAGAACCTGCAATCGAAACCCTGTTAATATTTCATTATCCATGGGAAAAAAATCCCTCTACATGTGAATGTCACAGTCTGATATGAAGAGGGGATTTGTAAATTAGGTCACAATTGGTCTAGTTATGCCGTCTACTTTAAATAATGTATCACATGCCTCGATGGCAGTGGCACGTGCTACCTCGCAGTCTGAGGTGTTGTAATACTCGGATGTCTCTCACTTGCTGGGAGCCACACAAAAGGCTGACCAAGCGACAAGGTTCAATCTCTTCTTTAGAAAACTAGGATGCAGACCAAGAGCAGAACTTTCGACCAGCCAAATGTTACACCAACAATATGCTATTTAAAATGAAAAAGAGGACTGTCTGTTCTTAAACTGAGGCGCAGTATAGCTGCTCTATTTTTGACCATTTTAATCCACATCAAAAGAATTTTGTCTGGATCTAGACAATGATATATGTGGCTCCGTCAGTGAATTTGAGACTTTTTATTCTTTTTAAACCATTTTCTTTATGCATGCGTGTCCTAATTTTTGATGACACCGAACAGGCAAGGTTGTGCACAGTAATAAATGACAGTATATTTATATCTTTATTTTACGTTATGTATTATACACACACACACACGCACACATATATATATATATGTTTATTTTATTTCTAATGTATTTAATAATATAATATGGACTGATATTGAAGGGAGCAGGGCACCTTAGCAACCGTATAACAACACCCTGGCAACCACCCATAACACCCTGGCATTTTGGCAGCAGATTTTGCATGGGCAAGCATCGCTCACATGTCTTTAAAAAAATTTTTTAGTGGCATCTGTTGTCACGTTCAATACATTAGTTCACCGTTGGAGTTCTCGGCCTGCGGCTAGTTTGCAAAAGCAAACAATAGGGCTAATGCCAGAACAGCCAGGAAAACAAAAATGAGGCATCTATGTTAAATTGCATTATCTAGCGTTGCTGAATCTCATTCGTCAGTTTGCACAAGCTTGCAAGAGGGTCCAAAACAGCCGCACCATTTCGGATGAGAAATATAAAAGTTATCTTTATGGGTCTCCCAGAGGCAAAAAAGGGGTTTTCTGGTGACATAGGAGGCATTTGACACGGCTGAGTCTCAGCATGTTGACCAAACAGAGTTGGCACTCTTTATGGTGACAGTTCAGGAATTCCACGCTCTGCTCGCCCGTAGAGCTGTACGATTCATTGCAAACTGGGCAATCGTTGGAGTTGGAGCTCAGGCTAGCCATATTGTCCACACATGGTGGTCTCGAGCTATCAGATTCCTGGCTCATTCTTCTATATGTCATGCTGATCATTCCATCTGTCAGAATTGGTTCTGGCTCCGTGCAAGGAATTCCCTGTGGAATCTGTTCATTAAAATGTTCAATAAAGTAAATTGAAATCTGATGAAATTACACCACTATTGCACCTGTGTTCAACATTACTGGAGCTTCACCACAAACTCTTTAGTTTCTGAGTCAAATGTTTTCATTTGATCTTTTGCTTTATTATGAAGGTTATTTAGAGGTAACGGAATAATTTTGTCATTCTTTCAGAATCCCCATCAGGACCATCTGTCAGTACTTGGACATGAGTCATTACATATAAAGGTGATATTAAAGCAGATGTTAGGTGAGCTACCTTCAGCTTCGATTATTGACAGATCAGCATTCTCAAGGTCAGAAGCTGCACTCAAGTCAAAGGCAGATCTGAGACCCAAACAAGTTTATTTAAAATTAGTTAAATCTGTCAATATTACATCTCTTGTTAATGCAATTATAAAAAATAATGTGCATAATCAGTTCTCCTGAAACACATATCATGTCTAATTTACATTTTATTGGCCTAAATGCTGTATCAGTGTAACTGCCACGGCTTCGCCATGTAATAAGAAACCAAATTTCAATTTTGGACATGGTGTTATTTTATAATTGTAAAAATATTTTATTTTATTTGTAAGATTTGGCCCTTGATTGCATTTGCTGGAGAGCTCTCATCACCCAATACGCTTCTGAGTGTCGGTGGAGAAGAAGAAGAGAAGAAGATTATTTTATAATACAATACGCATTTTATTCATTCACATTCAAGAACTTCATATGCATTATTTCACATGGCCAGGCTAATACAAACTAAAAGGCATTGACTGCAATAAACTGTGTGTGTGTGTGTGTGTGTATATATATATATATATATATATATTTTATATAAGTAAAATTGTAATATTTTCAGAGTAAAAGCTGTTATAATTCAGTTATTTTATAATGTATTCTGACATTATATGGCAGAAATGAATTTGCTCTGGAACCAAACGATGGTGATTTGACTCAGTAAAACCCAAATGTCTAGAAGAATTATTATACAATCATAGATTATCTCATTCAGAGTGCCTAGAGGCTGTCACAGTGCCTGTCATAATTGTCCTCCCCTTGTTTTGCACCAGCCAGCACAGAAAGACTCCGCAGAGGAACAGTCTGTACACCCATTGCATGCTCCTCGAACACAGACACACAAAACACACAAGACACTGCAGGCGCGACAGGAGATGAGCTGTTCAGAAGGCTTAATTAATGAGGGCAAAGCATCTGCATACCAGCATATGTTTAAGGCAATCACCCAGCATGATGATCATTCCATCTCACTAGATGACAATCAGGATGTATTAACCGGGCAAGACCTAACATATGGTGTATGTCATAGACACATCCTGTCAGCATGGTCAAACATATTCATTAATGCCACTTAGTGTTACGAGGCAGACAGTGGATGGAAACAGATGAACTGCACTGGACTGCGCTGCACTGCCGCAGTGGCCCTTTTGAGCGGATAACCATCATTGATGGTAATTGATAGCAACATGTCCAGTAATTGTACTACCTACTTGGCAGCTATTTGGTGGACACTAATTTCCACAGTGTGTTTTGGTCTATTGGATAATGGCAGGCGCCTTCATTAACAAGCTTGGAGAATAAACAATTAATTAGGGTAAAACCTGAAGAAGGGCTTTCAGACAAGCCCTGTCACAGTACACAAATCTAAGCTCGATACTAATTGAATCAACAAATCATCACAAATATTTTGAACAAGACATCAAATGTAAATATATATACTAGCATATCCTTCACAATGATTCCTTAGAATAAGATATAAAATGAAAAATATAATAAATGTGTGTATATGAATAACATTTTATTACAATTTTAATTTTATTTTACAATTCTTATTGTACGGAATATATTTCGTATTTTAGAATGTATATATATATATATATATATATGTGTGTGTGTGTGTGTCTAACACTGTTAATATAACTTTAATTTTAGAAAAAGATACAAAAAATAGATAATAGAAATAGATTAAAAAAAATAACCCCTATGCTCTGCGAATAACATACAAATAATTAAAATTATATGAAATAAAAATGTTTATATAAAGGACATTTTTATTATATTTTATTATTAGAAGTTTTTACTTTTTCATATTATATATATATATGATTTAGATTTTACAATAAAATACTGTCATCTGTCTATCTATCTATGTGTGTGTATATATATATATATATAATCTCATTTTACCCATAAGCATTATACTGTATATATAAATATATAAATTTTAGCATAACTTTAATTTGAGAAAAACATAAAAAAAATAAGATTTAAAATAGATTAAAAAAAAACACTATGCTATGCTGCCTCAAGTCAAAAGAGCCCTCATTGTAAGTCTGTAGGATGTTTTTTTTTCCTAAGTATAATTTCATATGAAAGTAAATGCATACCTCTTTTTTAGGTATCCTATCTGTAGCACAACCTGTGTGGGGTGAGTTATGTGCCAAAGTTTAAGATGAAACAGTTATATCTGTCTTGAGGGTAGAACAACACGCTTGCATTATTCAAGGTACATCTAAGAGATGGGAACTTTGTGTCCTTTTGCATCTAAGTTCACAGTGCAGTTGTACATTTCTGTCTACTGTGCTACCGAACAGGTCGGTATACAAGACCTGGAGCTTCTGCAAGAACAAAGGCAATTCTGGGCTTTGGCTTATTGCTTGCTGAAGCTTAGAGGACTCTCAGACAGTCAAATCCAAATTACAGCAGTGAAGCCAGACTGCAGTAGCTGTAGTGTGTAATTCTGCGATCAGTTCAGCAGCACATTGATAGAAATGCACAACTGTTATTTACTGACAGATGATTGTCTGAAGCACTTCAACAAGGACAGAACGCTCTTAAGATAGAATAGAAAACAAGTCACCTACTTTTATGCTACTGTTTGAACAAACTTTTCCAAACAAACTAAAAACTAAAATAAAATAATAATATGCAGATTTGGACTTGTAATATCCAAATGCAAGTGCACTTTTATTTTGCATGTGCTTTATTGTCTTTGCACGTTGTTTGTTGAAAGAGTGAACGGCTCAAGAAATGCATTGTTTATTTTTGCATAATTAATATATATATATATATATATATAGTTTCTATTCATCAAAGACATATCGTATCATGGTTTTCACAACTGTTTTCAACATTGGTAATAAGACAATAAAAATGTAATTCAGCTTTGTCATCACAGGAATAAATTACATTTTAAAATACAGTCAAATAGAAAAGTTATTTTAAATTGTAACAATATTTCACAAAATTACTGGTTTTACTGTATTTTTGATCAAATAAATGCAGCCTTGATGAGCATAAAGGACTACTTTTAGCAGTAGTGTATGGATGCAACATGTAACAAAGTTATCAATTAATGTAAAATTTGAAATGTCAAATCTGCTTTGTTGATTCCTCACTTATGCGTTACCTGAATGCACTCTGCCCGAAGAATGAATTTGGGAACCAGGGGAGGGATGGTGCTCGATTTTTTTTTAAATACCAACAAAATATCAGCTTCGGTTAAAAAAATATTGGTATTGGCCTTTAAGCAACCCATATGGGCTGAAGCATAGTTGATGTTCAGAAGTCCAGAGTGTCGTGCTGGTAGCGCAGTCGCGGGCTGTTCTCACTGTAGAACTGACTGAACCAGCGTCTGTGTTTCTGAATGGCCGAGTCTTCTTTCACAAGCATAGGTTTGGAGATGTACGTCTTGTTGTTCCAGATCATCACATCTCGTTCAAACTGTAACAGCAAAACCATAAGTTAAGATCCCATAAGCATCCTTTGGTAGGGTTATTGTAACTACACAAAACAGCTTCCTTTTAATAAACATTGATATTAACTATATATATGTGACCCTGGACCACAAAACCAGTCATAAGGGTCCATTGGTAATAAGACAATAAAAATGTTTCTTGAGCAGCAAATCAGCATATTAGAATAATTTCTGAAGGATCATGTGACACTGAAGTAATGATGCTGAAAATTCAGCTTTGTCATCACAGGAATAAATTACATTTTAAAATACAGTCAAATAGAAAAGTTATTTTAAATTGTAACAATATTTCACAAAATTACTGGTTTTACTGTATTTTTGATCAAATAAATGCAGCCTTGATGAGCATAAAGGACTACTTTTAGCAGTAGTGTATGGATGCAACATGTAACAAAGTTATCAATTAATGTAAAATTTGAAATGTCAAATCTGCTTTGTTGATTCCTCACTTATGCGTTACCTGAATGCACTCTGCCCGAAGAATGAATTTGGGAACCAGGGGAGGGATGGTGCTCTGGTAGAAGATGGTGTGTGATACACACTGCAGTAATGGCTCGACTGGGGTAACGCAGTGCATGATCACACCCCGACCCAGAAAACTGTGTTCAAAAAGCAGGAAAACCACACCTGGACCCACCTACAAACATGCAATATATAGTTCATATCATCAGGGAGTAAAATCAATGTCATTTATGCTGCATTCTACTGTGTGAGACCAAATAAAATAGATTATTTCACAAAAATCATAACAAAATCTTCTCTAATTCAGATTCTGCCTCTCGTGCCAACAGCACTTTCCACTCTCAAATATACAGACACTTTTTAACTTCAAGTGAAGATCCAAGCACAGCCTTGAATTACAATTGTTTTCACACATACTGTCAGGATTATTCGCCGTCACTATGGCGACAAGGCAGTTCCTTTTCAGACAACACAAAAAGAAAAATGTTGCACAACTGACCATGAGGGAAAATTATGACATTGAGACTTGGACTGCTACATAGACACGAAAAGCTGGCTATATTTCATTATAGGGCTCTATATGTTAACATTAGTTAATGCACCAAATAAACAATACGAAATTTTTACATATACTAAAAATAAATTGAATTGAATTGAATACATTTTAAATATATTAAAAATGCATTTTTTATATTTCAGGTCATATAAATTACCATTAGTTAATATGATATAAGCAAACAAATATTAACAATTAAAAATAGCATATCTATAAATTAACCAATAAAATCATAAATTAAAATAAATAATACATTCATAAATACATTTTGATTATAAATTAGATAGGAATTCATTAAAAATAAGAAAAAACAATTGAACCTTATTTTAAAGTGTTGCCATTTTTTAATGAATTCATTAAAAAATTGTGAAAAGCTAAATATTTTTTGTAGCACAGAATATAAATAAATTACCCATAATATTTGATTCCTGAAGCAAAGAAACTGCAGTCATACTTCACCATACAAGAAAAGCATCTCATTTATAAATCTGACACATCCTACAGCATCCAACACACTCGAGCGCGCACACACACACACACACACACACACACACACACACACACACACACACACACACACACACACACATTTAATTTACATAAAAGCATGCTCTGTATGCACTCGACTAACTGCTTAAAATACAGCGAACAACCTTCAGAACACAGAGATCAAGACACCGCTTTTGTGTGCAAGAGATCATTCATGACTTGATTTCCATTCTGCTAATCAGTCAGGCTCCATGCGTTTCTCTCAGTCTGCACGGCTCACACGCGCCCTCTAGCCGATGGACCAGTCATTACCTGTCTGGCCACAACGTCCAAATCAAGAAGAGGCCAGTGGCGTCCGAACACTGTGAGAGCGTGTTTCACCAACATCTGCGAGCAGTGCTTGTCCGGCTCAGGCTCAGGCTTCCACTCCACCTGGAAAAATAAAAATGCTTAAGTCCACGCGGACATTTGCTTATTTCACATGCAAAAGGTAAGCAAATCATAACAAAAGTCATTTATATATTCATATTTTTTTTTAAGTAAATTTAGACAGTTATTGATAAAATAAATCTTGAATAACAATATAAATGGAATTATATAACTAAAATGCAACAAAAGTGTAGTTATAAGGCTCCTTTAACCAAGTACCAATTCAACACACATAGACAGTCACACAAGGAAGTGATATGTTTTTACAGTAGATACGGCTATATTTTTATGGTTTTATGATAGTGTTGTCCATTTTAATTCTACCATGTATCCTAGTTTTCTGTGACATAAAGACATAAAATCTGTTGACCAGGATTATTATCATTAACTGAAACTAAAATTAAAACCATAAAAAAACGCATGTTCGTTACTTAAAATTAACGTCAGCTGAAACCCCCCCCCCCGAAGCTTTTAGTTCCCTATTTTATTTCAGCTAGTTGCCAAGGCAACATTTCTCATTTTCGTGTATGAGTTTTTTGTTAACGAGACATTTCATGAGGGCTTAACTGGATTTCTGTGTTCTGAGTTTTTCCATAAAAACAATAATTTTCCATGAGTCCGTGAGTGTAAACAGTTCAGAGTATAATAAAAGTTGTCAATTATGGTAATTATGACTCAATGTAAGCATAGCATAGGAAGTACTAAAATAAAAAAAATTATAAAAAAATAAAATTTATTATATCTATATAGAAAGTAAAAAAAAAGATAACCATAACAAAATTGAAATCTAAAATTAAAAATGAAAATATAAAATATAATCTAATATAAAAAAAATAAACAAAAACTATATTAGTATGTCAATGAGACTAAAATAACACTGCTGTTGACATTTCTCCTTGGGATGAATGTCTGTGTGAGGAATCAAACCTTCCAGTCATGCCGTATAAACTCCCAGGTCTTGCTGTTCGTATAGCGTAGATCAACTCCACTGACGATACCTGGAGTGTGCAAATGAGCCAAGTGTGCGATGTCTGCTGCGTTCTCTGGAATCTCCTGAGAAAAAACAGAACAGAATGTGTGAATTAAAGACTGCTAGATACAAACATCATATTCACTGAGAAATATAAAATATATCGCTCACATTTGTGACCCTGGAGCACAAAACCAGTCTTAAGTCGCTGGGCTATATTTGTAACAATAGGCAAAAATACATTGTTTGGGTCAAAATTATTGATTTTTTTTTATGCCAAAAATCATTAGGATATTAAGTAAAGATCATGTTCCATGGAGATATTTTGTAAATTTCCTACTGTAAATATATTAAAACTTAACTTTTGATTAGAAATATGCATTGCTAAGAACTTCATTTGGACAACTTTAAAGGCGATTTTCTCAATATTTAGATATTTTTGCACCCTCAGATTCCAGATTTTCAAATAGTTGTATCTCGGCCAAATATTGTCCTATCCTAACACACCATACATCAACGGAAAGCTTATTTATTCAGCTTTCAGATGATGCATAAATCTCAATTTCGAAAAATTGACCTTTCTGACTGGTTTTGTGGTCCAGGGTCACATATGAGCTGAAGTACATATATGCTGTCTGACCTCAATGTGTGCATTAATGAAATGTTCGGTACGGCCGCGGTACACCCATTCCCCGCGGGTGATCTCGCTCTGTTCTGGCACTCTCCAGCTGGGCTCCAGTCCGTCACAGTGAAACCACACCAGAACCTGCCCGTTGATCTCACAGCTGGGCCAACACCGCACCTTCGCAAACTCAGGCACTAAAAACATAAAAAAAAAAAGACATATACACCACTAATTAACAGTTTGGCGTCAGTATAAAGAAAAGAATACTTTCAATGATGCATTAAACTGATCAAAAGTGACAGTAAAGACATTTATAATATTACAAAAGATTTTTTATTTCACATAAATGCTGTTCTTTTGAACGTTCTAATCATCAAAGAATACGGAACAAAATGTATCTCAGTTTCCACAAACTATTAAGCAGCACAACTTGATAATAATAAAAAATGTTTCATGATCGCCAAATCAGCATATTAGAATGATTTCTGAAGGATCATGTGACACTGAAGACTGGAGTAATCATGCTGAAAATTCAGCTTTGTCATCACAGGAATGAATTACATTTTAAAATATAGTAAAACGGAAAACAGTTATTTTAAACTGTAATAATATTTTCACAAAATTGCATTTTTTTCAGTATTTTTAATCGAAATTAATGTACCCTTTAAAAATCATTAAAATCTTTCCGACACTAAACTTTTGAACTGTAGTGTATGTCTATTGAGTACTCTGTATATTTTATACATATAATTTGCATTTATGCACATATACATAAGCAACTTATACATAAGTTGTCTGCAACAAATACAGCAAATACGCCAGTACATACATATTGTTAGAAGGAAAATGTCTCATTTTTTTCTCTGATCTCTCACCTTTATCTGCATATGGAATCCTGACACATTTCCCATCAGTCCCACGGAACTGCCACCCATGGAAGGGGCATTCAATGCATCCCCCTACGACTCGCCCACCCACAGCCAGGTTGGCGCCTAAGTGGGGGCAGTAAGCATCCACCACGTAGGCCTTGCCATCCTGCCCACGGAACACTGCCACCTGTTGTCCTGGAGGAAAATACAGATATATGTCAATTTTTCATTTTGCTTTACCAATAAAATAACTGTAAAAATAGTATGCTGCAATTAGTTACAATAACCTAAAGGGGGCAGTACTGGTCTTTCACAAAAAAAAAAAAAAACCAAGGGACCCCTCAGGTTAATTTGGGTAACTATCAGACGGATTTTGGATTCATTTCCTTTTAGAAAAGACCTGGGCTTGCTTGCCTATGCCCCAAATCCCCGATCACATACTCTCACTAGCAGTGCAGTTATATGTAGTGTATTGAAAATAATTGACTTTCAATTAATATGCAGAAATGAGATAAGAGCTGAGAATAAATTACATTTTACGTAACATCAGTGAGCATGTGTGACACTGTTTTAGATTTTTGCTATTACGTCTCACCCTATATCATTATCCAAATGGAAAAGTTAATAATTACTTAAAAACCAACAGTCAAGTATGTCAGTTAATAATTAGGCTTATAATGTTATATAACCAGGAATAGGCGTAGCAAGACTGTAAAATCCTGATTTGCACACTCATTCTCTCTCTCTCCTTGGGTCTACAGCTACAGGACCCAAAAACTCACTGTCTGTTATGCTGACCTGAGGGGTTTTATTTGCCTGCAGTGCAGTGCCCCTGAAAAAAAAAAAAGCTACTAGACTCAAATGACAAAATCACACAAAGAAAAAGGCAGTGGAATCCAACAAACATTATGGCAATAGTATCTATGAAAATACTTTGTCATTCATTCTACACAGCAAGTACAAACAACAAGAAATAGCCCTGAAGTGGTCATATACAGTTAATTTAATGTATAAATAGAGAAAGAGAGGAGTGTGTTTAAGCTGCATAAGCATATCAGGTATCATGTCTGTTATCTGATATGATTCCTATGAGGCATCTAGCCGATAGCCCATTTAACTAAGGTTTTATGAAGCGCACATCAATACGCTGTAGCAGTAACTGCATGCAATTAAATGCTGTGCCCTTTGAGTTCACTAAAGGAAACTCCATTTAGCCATCTCACTGCTTAAAGATGCTGCTTTTTAGATGGCATCTAACCAAGCAGATGTCTTGAACATTTGGCAAACATGGGTCATCTTGTACATATACAGTGACCTTCTTTTAAAACCCGTATATATAGAAGCAATCTTTTGAAAATATATTAAGGTTTAAAATCAAAGAGCATCACAGGTTCAACAGTCTCCAGGCTGCAAAAGCACAACAGTGTTTCTTTGTATCCCAATAACAAAACTACAAAGGTGTTTTGTTTGGTTTTCATCGAAAACCCAAAAGGTCTTTGCAACATGATAGGGCATCCCACAGCAACTCAGCTAAGCAACAGGCACTTAAACATAACAAAAAGTCAGTAACAAAAGACAAAGACATTGCAATGACAGGGCTGCACGTACACAAATGCTTAATCCTGATCAGGGTATAGTCTGTCAGAGTGATGCACAAATAAAAATGATGGAGAATGATTATATTGCACAGACACTTCTTCTGCAACCCTATCTGAAATCAATAAGAGCCTCAAGCATCTCTCAGAAGATTCTCAATAACTTTGCTGAATTTGCACTAGAAACTGATTCAAGATATTAATATAGCTGCATATATAGTGAAGCAACAACTGTCTGTAAGAAATCACCCAGATCAGTTCATGCTGTTCTCAGAAACCTCTAACTTTAATTTTGTCATAATTACTTATGGTATGCATTCTGTTAGCATAGGTTGTGGCATAAATCAATTGACAAAAAAAACTCTTTTGGTTGCATACATCAGCTCCTTTTTTAAAGTTAATATTTACATGCATAAAGGACATATTTTAGGTCCTGAGCTGGTCACAATTTCTCCAAGCTTTCAACTTTGTGATCACTTTTTCTCTTTTTAACAGCTCATTTAAATAGTCCAGCAGTGTGAAAAATATTTTTTAAAGGGGTCATATGATGCGATTTCAATTTTTCCTTTCTCTTTGGAGTGTTACAAGCTCTTGGTGCATAAAGAAGATCTGTAAAGTTGCAAAGACTAAAGTCTCAAATCCAAAGAGAGACTTTATAAAAGTTAAGAGTCAACCACGCCTACCTAAAACGGCTCGTTCTAACACGCCCCCACATGTCTACGTCACGATGTGGGACGATTTGCATAACGCCGCCCAAATGTTCACGCAAAGAAAGAAGGCGTAACTTTTATTCTCGCTGTAGTATTGTTGCCGCCGCCACCATGTTGTGAGGCGCTGTGTGATTCGTTGTGAAAGCGAAACTACTTTGTTTGGCCTTCCAAAAGAGGACGATATCTGCTTCATCATGCCTGAAGCTGATCCGTGTTGGTCGCTGAAGATAAAATAATGTTCTTTTTAGCAACATCATATGACCCCTTTAAGTAGTCTCTTGATTTCTGACATCATTTCTGACATTCTCATCCGTCATTCGGATGAGACGTAGATACCCCCTGACAATGTAAAGCGCTTTGAGTGCCTAGAAAAGCGCTATGTAAATGTAATGAATTATTATTATTATTATTATAAAGGCTGCATGTATAATAATTGTACAATATTGTTTTAGATTAAACACAGGCATTTCTGTCAGGACCACTATCGTCAAATAACCCCCCAGGGTAAACAGAACAGAACTAACATAAATGTATTGCAGATATTGTTAAAGTTCAATCATTTTATGTACACATTTTAGAATTATTCTGATTCAAGGAGAATCAGAAGGCTGAATCCCGACTGACAGAGGAGGAGTTGGGGATGGAGAAGGGTAATTAGCTATTGAGCAATGCAAAACTGCTGATAATACTGAGGGACCTTATATATGAATGCTTATGGGGATCAGCTGAAGGTCAGCTGATGCGAGCTTGACTAACCTGACCTGCCAGAACTAACGCTACGCTTGATTTCACACTGCTTTAACTGCCCAGAAAAGTATTTATGGACTAAGTAACTTGCATTTAATGCAAGATATACAGTTTATCATTATGTGTGTAATCAAATAAAAAAAAGGCCATAAGCTCTTTGTGCAGTAACAGACATGGGGATGTAACATATGCGGCAAAACATCTGCATTATTGATCTCAATCCGGGAATGTCATGATGCAAACGACTTTCTGTTCTTGAAGGGACCTGTAATTTAACCCATCTGGCTCCAAAACAGTCAATGGAGATCTATTTCAGTATCAAATCTGCATCTGCTCAGCACAGTAGGAAGACACACTGCTGAAAACGTGCGGAGTCTCATAGGGAAACTCTGGCGGTCTGTGATTCAATAATTGTAACTGTTAAGTGTCTAAGGGGAGGCATTCAGTCCTGCGTTCCAAAAACTGTATGGGGCGCAACGTAGGGGACGTTCACACAAGAACGCTGTGCACACACTTGCGTTCCCTCTACTTCCAGATTCGACTTGTAAAAACGCGTCTGGAGACGCGCTCCGTTTCATTGCGCTCTGTGACGCATAAGTACGTCAACCAACATTTACACGTCCCGTGTGGTTTTATGATGTTCTTCCTCGCGTTGCTTATATCGCTTCTGTGTTCTTATTTGATCAGTGATGGATCCCATGACACTCTGCTGCAAAAATGAGAAATAAAACTGTGGGACATTTCCAGTGACGTGATTTTACTTCACCTGCGCAGTTTTGTTTAGCATTTTTGGCGGTTGTTACTTACCCAGCACTGTCACACTCTTCACATCTCCTCTCTCCAGCATGTGAGAGTCTAAAACCCGATACCAGCCGTTTGGATAAACGGGCGGTAATTCTCCGGTCTTCCGTCGCCGACGCACTTCGTTGGCAGCCTGGGCACGAGAGCGCCCGTCCTCCGCGATGTACCCCACCTCATCCACACCGCGGAGCAGCTCCAGAGGAGCGAATAACAGTCTGTACAACCAGCCCATCGCTAAGAGGAACACGCCCGCGAATATGCAGGCTGCCGCTCGCGTAGGGGCTCCTGCCAGTCCGGTTCTCCGCCACAGTTCTGGGTATCCCCCTCCGAACAGCGTGTCTGGATCTTGGACGAGCATGACGAACGTGGCGGTGAGACCGATCGCTGCCACCGCGGCCGCCTTGAACATCAGTGATGCCCGTGAATTCTCCATGACACCTGCGATGTCACATACACTATGACGGTCAATCAGTCTCGATAAGCCTCCTTCTCATTTTAGTTCCTATGCAGACAGAAAGCTGTAATGTTTGTTTATGCATGCTATGCTTTTTTCCTAGGGGTCACACACAACATATGTCCGTAGCGTTCAAGAGAGCCGTGGATACGTGACGCAGCGGGTGAGTGACATTCACAAGGCCACGCCCACACGCAGGTGAGATTTCAGAGCAATAAATGTACAGTGCGACACTGGACTTGCACTTTTACATCATGAACAAAGTGCATTGGAGAATTTTTATTTGGATTATCAGTTAACATACAATATATATATATATATATATTATATATATACACAGGGTGCGATTTGTAGGGGGGGATGGGGATTTCCCCCCTTCTGGTCTATGTATCTCTGCCTCTGCTGAATTATTTTTATCCCTGGTGGGGATAAAAAAAGTATGCTATCCCACCAACCATCAACAGAGCATATAAAATAAAAATAAACATATTTTTTATTAAGTAAAATACTGCAACATGACAATACAAACAACAATAAAATCAGAAATTGACTTTAACCGTCAGCACTCCCGCTTAATAGAGACAGTCTAGGTTTCGTGATCCTGGTTCACACGCCTCAATCCAACTATGCCAGGGGTCATGAAGGTTAATAATACACACAGTAATACACCAACACATAAGCATTTGTCACTTCTTTAGGGTCTACAGCTCCATTATTTACTTTAGATGTTCAAAATCAGCTCATATTGCTGTCCTTAGATGTATTACATATATTCTATGTCCATGTTTTGTTCCAGTGAGGTTCTGACTAAATTTAAACTTTAAGGGGACCGAAAGCACCAGGGGCAGTTTGTTCAGGGCCCCTTGTATTGTTTAGGGTTATGTGACCATGCCAAAGTCTCCACATTTATCCACAATATCGCTATATAGCAGTATTAATGTAGTGGAAACTTTATTTAAATGGTCTGAGCTTATAAGAATCATAGAAATGACGTTAATTCGTTAAAAAAAAGTTATCGTTAGTAAACTTTCTCTCAGCTTATTGGAGCACAAAACAGCATTGCATTCTTTTAATGTAATGGCAAGTTAATACAGAAAATATGACAGCTTCTTTTGATCATCTTATATTTTGTTTATTGCATGAATCTTAGCATCATATTCACTGCTAAATGGCTACACAATTCTCTAGTCGGGTTGCTAGTGCTCAGCTCTTCTGGACGGCAGGAAAGCTGGCAAAGACGGTAGTCCAGTAGTAAACCAAGCGTGTTCTCAACATCTGCTTGACGCTGTCCCTGTTCATCTTGTTGTTGATATTTAGGTACTGATGGCCACTGCTGGCAAATTCAGGCCAGCTTACAGGAACACTGGACTCACCTTTGCTAGGATCACTGTGAGGGAGAAAGGAAGACAGACAATGAAAATGGGAAAAAAAAAAACTATAATAGTATATCAATACTAAAATAACTGACTGGCACCAGATGGGATTGCACAAAAACAGACAGGCCTAGTACCATAGTACTCTCTCTTTCTCTCTCTCTCTCTCTCTATGTGTGTGTGTGTTATAGTTGTTTCTACACATTATAGTGGAGTATAGTTGTTTCTACACAAGGTGAAGTATTTTAATACTGTAGTATTGTAAAGCATTTTAATGTTTATATACCCAGTTTGAGCAAAATTGGTCCAGTAGGAAATCATGTATTTGGCGACGTCACGATGGCGAGGAAAGTAGCCCAGAGGAGTGCTGAAAGGCTTCCCAAACACAAACTGAAGGTCATCAGCGTGATCGGCACCCATCCAGAGTGGGAAGATAGGCATGCGAGAGGGCTCAGAGAACAGGTAGGAGTAGGTTCGTCCAGATCTAATGGGGAAGAAAAGGTTGTTTTTAAGGTTTCTACATTTAGAAGTCAGTAAATAAGAAGATGAAGTCTTACTTAGCATGGTCAGAGTGGAGGTACAGGGCCGCTTGGGTTGGCACCAGGAAGATGTAGTCCGTCTCCATGTCCACAATCGTTTTCTTAACAACCTTATCACTAGGTTTGCTACCCCAATTGACTGTGTACTCCTCATAAGTTGTGATACCAGCATCTGGTCCTCTAGATTCAGACAGGGCAATCGAGAGAGCCCTCACATCCTCCCTGTTAGAAATCAATAGCAGTTTTTGGAAATCATGTTTTTTTTTTTTCCAGGTTTGGACCATTAAAGGCACCATGAAATGATTTGACGGGTGTTTTCTGCACAGAATATATTGGTTAGTCCCTTTGTTGAAAGGCGTATTGCTTATGTTGCTGTTTTTCCAGAAGACAAAAATTTTAATTTTTATATGTGTATATATATATGCCCATGCAGTACAACATATATTTTCATACATACAATACCATTCAAAAGCTTGGAATTGGTATGATTTTTTGGAAAAAAGCTGCACTGTTTACAGACATTAAGCATGTTTAAAAAATATACTGTATATTGTGTAAATACATTGTGGCCAGAAAAAAAAAATGTCTGTATAGGTCTGCTAAAACTTTTCATTTTAATAGTACACAAGCATATAGCTACTTCAAAGCTAGCAGACATAAAATGCATACAACCTTGTTTCTGATTTTATAGGGTCTTTAAAAAATCTCAGAATGATTCCAGGTGACTCTTTAATGTCGCACACTTACACAGGGGTGGACACAAGTGCGTTGTTGATAGAGGGGATGTCAAGGGTGGCAAAGATGTGGCCGTCCATGTCATTGACTCCAGCGATGTAGTCAATGTCAGCAGCATTCCCGAAAAGGGTTTCAGGCTCGCCGGGGAGGAAGTCACCATCGATGACGGGGGACAGAGCCAGATTGTGTACAATGGGATCTGAAAAAGATGGTCAGATTTAGTATTTTGACTTTGCATTGCATTTACTATGGTTTTAGCAGACATTGTATTTCTATCATTGTAAATGAAATTCTGTCATCATTTATTCACCCGCATGTGACCTTCTTCACTGACTTGTGAAGTCAAAATGCTGGCTTCCCCATTCTTTGTAATTGCATGGAAAAAGTGACCAGTCATGCAGGTTTGGAACATGAGAGTGAGTAAATTAATTTAATGTAAAGGGCTACAAATACACCATTTTCTTACGAGAAGCAGATGTACTGAAGTTCACACTCCCAGCAAGAGTTACAGTCTTTGGATCTGTCCTCCTCAGACAAGCCACCATCCCGCTATCAGTGGGGCATCCTACCTTCCTTGCAATCTAAAGGTGCACAAAAAAGAATATACTCATATAGTTTTAAAGAAATAATTGTATTTGTAATTACTGTAGACGTAAACCACGTTGTGATATCTATACATTAATTTATTGACTGACCAAAAACATTGAGAGATCAGTCTGTATGTGAAACAGAACAGGTGACTTCACTAAGTAAACACTAGCAAGTGTACACTAAAGTATTTTGTAAAAGGCTGGGAATGAGAGTAAATAAACCCATAGGATTTTGCGACCTCTGTATATCAAATGCTAGTACTGTACGCAATGTACCAAGTCTGTTTTATAATGAGTAAAAGTGAAGCTCACCTCCTCAGCATACTGTCGTGGATTTCTGTTGACAGCCCAGGGACAGAGAGCAACACCACTCTGTGAGATAGCTCTGCGGATCAGACCCTTGTTTTTAGGGGAAAGAATCTGTGCAGGATGGGACACACACACAGAAATGAGAAGCTATATTACTGAGAACCTCTCATGACTTTCATACTAATAAATCAAACGCTTTTGTAAACCTGTTGCCATTAGATTTAGAGTGAAAATTTGAAAGACTCAGCAATTAAAATGTAATACATAAGCATTCAAGCAAAAATAAAATAAATAAACCAGTGTTTTGTTGTTGTTTTAGGCAGCACCTGGAAGTTCACGCTGGCTCCCCCTGCTGACTCCCCAAAGATGGTAATGTTGTCTGGATTGCCACCAAAATTCCTGATGTTTCTGTGTACCCAGGAGATAGCGGCGTGCTGATCCCACAGGCCATAGTTTCCTATCAAGCAGGACATGCTCAGGTCATCATTTAAATACTACAGTCAATCAATCCATACATATATACATACATGTATACAGTGGGGTCCAAAAGTTTGACTGGAGCTAACAGGGAACATGATGGCAAGGTTCTCTCTAAGGTATTAAAAAAAAAAGTTTTTCCAATAACGTGAATAGAACATTAATTCAATGTTATCTGGTCTTTAATTATGTATAGGGCTGGGCGATATGACCAAAAATATTATCACAATATTCTTTTACCATTAATGGGGAAGAAAGTACTTTGCATTGTTCACAATTAAACTCCACAGAGTAAGATATCTTTTAATTAGGAACCCATTAAATCCATTTTCCCCCTAAATTATTTTTTCCATTTTATTTTGTCTGGATTTTGTGTTTTATGATTTAATACAAATTTTATAAAAAAAATATGGCATCTAATGAAATGAATTAATACAACTTTAACAGTTTGAGCATTCTTTTAAAATGTAAGCAAATGAAATCAATTTACTACAAAAGACTGCATTTTTATTGTCAAGCAAGTTGCTGCACAACAGAACTGTCAATAAATTAATGAAAAAAAAAAACCTTGGTTGTATGATATTCCTTAAAATAACAATATTATATTATATTATATTATATTATATTATATTACTGTATATTATATAATATTTTTGTCATAATTTATTTAAATTAAACCGGACTTTTATTTTGACGGTTCGTTGTGCAGTTTTACTTTCAGTTTCAGTGTGTATTTAACAGCCTTTCTTTCACAAATTAAACATTGTAAAGCTGGTGAAGTGACTCTCAGAGCAGCTCTGGAGATTTAAGTTCACGTGTTCATGTCTTCATAGGTTGAGACGCACACGTTTTACACGTGGCACACGTGTTTTATTACCCAATCCTTCTCAAAAAGTTAGCACAAAAACAGAATTTATACATAATTCATTGAATGTTATTTCCTGTTAAGTTCATCTAATGTTTTTTAAACGTTAACCATTTTTAAAACTTGTTTCAGAATCTTCAGAGGACATTCAAAATGCAAAATTATAAAATGGAATGTTCTCTTAAGGTTCGCGTAACTAAGATTTTTTTTAAAAAACATTTCAAAACGGGATGTTTTGAATGCTTAAAGAACATTCATAAATAACGTTTTTATAATGGAAATATTTGCAAAATGTTCTTAGAACATATTTTGGTTAACGCAACATGGTTATGGAAAAAATGAGAAGGGAAGAAAACTTGTATTGCAATGCTTTTGCATTTTCTTTCAATACTTGTGTGATGGAAATAATAAGAGGTGGGA